ACTTACTTGTGTACGGAGAAACAGTGGTGCTCTGTCCTTCAGTACTGCCATCACCTGCCACTGCAGTGATATTTATATCATACTGGACACCAGCAGTCAGGTTAGAAATGGTTATTTGTGTTTCAGTCACGTTTTCACTTTTAGTGACATTTCCATCACTCCACTGTACTCTGTAGGAAGAGCTGTTCCCCTCTGGTTCATTCCACATCACAGATATGGAGGATGTTGTGATTTCAGTGACAGAGAGATTCCCGACTACTTCAGGCTCTGTGAGTGAGAGAGAAGTTGGTGGGGAAAATAATTAATGTTTCACTATTACAATTTTAAAACACTGTTATTATCTTTGTTTTTGACATTTGATTTGACAAAGATCATTCTGCAACAATGCTGTAGGTACTTTACTGTTTAATGATCACACTTACTTGTGGTGGCCTCTTTGCAGCAGTTCAAGCAGTCAAAGTAGATTTGATAGATTGCTCCAGGAATCAAATTATTTGCAGATATATTTTGCCAGATTGAGATGTTGCAGCTTGGATTGGATCCGATCGTGACTGTGGTTGTCGTTGTCGTTAAGTATTCGGTGATATTGCTGTCACATTTTCCACCTAAAAGATACGAGAACAAGAAGAGTAGAAATGGAGTTAAAAAAAAGTTACATTTAAAAAAAGATAACATCAGGAATGATGTTCTTAACACATGTGCGATAACTTATATTTAGTAGAAAAAGCACACGGGTACTTACATTCTTCTGTAGAGACCTGTGGAGAGAGAGAAGCAGAGTCAAATATCTTTCACCAGCAGAGGTCAGCATTGAGTTAACACAGCTTCAAACGATCAATTAGAAACCCAACCACCCAGTCAATGTCACAGAACATCAGTAAATTCAGCAACATCAAATAGCACTGCAAACCAGGTCATTTTTACATGGCTTCTTAAAACAGCCTTTTCTCAGGCCTACTAGTAAAACACTATGTTTTTCTGTCTGCTGTGGCAGGCGGTACCGCAGTATCAGGACCAAGACTCAGGGACAGTTTCATCCCCCAGGCAATGAGACTGCTTAATGCCTGAGCTCTGTTAAGTACCTCCATAACCCAACGCATTCATCTGGTTGCATCTTAGATTTATTTAATTTATTATCTTAATAGTTATCACTGGATCAAACAATATTTATTTAGTATAGTAGTACTGCAACGGCAATACTTGTAGACTGGTCTAGCAACATAACCTGCACTATTTTATTCAACTTTATCGAACTCTGTTTCATTTGCAATATTTATTTATTTGGTTGTCTTATGTCCTATATATAATATGTTGCATTGTTGGAGAAGCTCGGGACCTAAGCTTTTCAGATCCATAACAACACTGTAGCTGCCGTGCATATAAAATAAAACCCGTGAATCTTGAACCCTCCTCTGCTCCTGTGATGCTCGTTTGTCCAGCAGGTGGCGCTGTTGTCTTACTGTTAAACTACCCAGCAGCTGCTAGAGAGTAAATGTTTACAGTAAAGCATGAGTGTGAAACTGTGGAATAAAGTGTGTGTTTACACGCTCTCAAGTTTGGTTAGGTTTCTGTTACTAATGCATAAATATCAACACATCCGACTAAACTGTGAGTCACTTCTGCTCTCATTACGATACGATAATACTTTAATGCTCAGATCAAGTCTGAAATGTGACTTGCTTCACAGCTGCTCCATGTGTAACATCAACAAACAAATACCAAGACACAGTACATGAAAAACAAACAACAAACATGTAACATAACAGCAGGATCAGTGAGAGGAAAGCTGCTCAAAGAGCCTGCAGCGTGCATTTGATCTGTACTCAGCTCTGTGTTTACTGAGAGGATTGACTGGAGCACGAAGGACGCTTCAGTCTGACCTTATTGATCTCCATTAGATCAGGGGTGTCAAACTCAAGGCCCGGGGGC